GAATGTCCATGATGATGGTAGGGAATAGTCGTGACAAGCCAATAATAATCATCATCAATATATAAAGGAACGCAAATGCAGGCATCATATCATCATCATCTGAAAGAGAAAGATAAAAGAAAGGGGAAAAAGGCAGAAGAATGAAATCCTCCCTTGTCTGCCTTTTCCTCCTCACGATTGTATGTTCAGCCTGGGCGGATGGTGAAGATGATTCTTTTCCAACTTTTACCACATTGCCAGTACCAGAGACTCGGCCTTTTGATGATTTCTTATCCTTTGATTACTAACACCAGAGATGCCAACAGCTCGAACAAATCATCAACGCGACGCTCTAATCTTGGATCGCAAAGGATCACACTCTTGCCGCCAGTCTCCTCAGGCTGCATTTTCAAGACTGCTTCGTCACGGTAATCGATTTTATGTGACTAATATACACCTGTCCTCCCTTCAAAATATTTCTGGATCCGTGTTACATTAACGCGCTTAATTGGTCAGGGATGCGACGCTTCCATTCTGTTGAACCACGAGGGGAGCGAGAGGAGAGCCGGGACGAGCAAAACCTTGAGAGGATTCGAAGTGATCGACGATATCAAGGCGGAGGTGGAGAAATCCTGCACTGCAACAGTTTCTTGCACCGACATTCTAACGGCGGCCACTCGGGACGCCACTGTTTTACTCGGCGGTTCTTATTGGAGGGTTCCCTACGCCAGGAAAGATTCAACAACTTCGAATGAAAAAGACGCGGATACGGTACCGATCGGTCGCGAGAGTGTTATCGATCTGCTGGAGTTGTTCCAATCCAAGGGTCTTAATTTAGTATACCTGGTGGTTCTCTCGGGAGCGCACACCATTGGAAGGACATCATGCGGTGCAATCCAGCACCGGGTATACCGGGGTTCGATCGGAACATCGGACATGTAGAATCCACTGATCGACGATCGATACTTGGATTACTTGCAGAGGAAATGCAGCTGTGGAGGGGATGAGTATGTTGATCTTGATGCTACGACACCAACCACCTTCGACTCCCACTTTTACGCCAATCTGGAGAGGAAGATGGGACTTCTATCAACTGATCAAAGGCTTTATTCTGAATCGAGAACTTTACCTGTGGTTAATGCTTTGATCCAAACCCCTTCCCTTTTCAGGCACCAATTTGCAGTCTCCATGGTAAGGCTGGCTAACATTCAAGTCCTCACCGGTCCACATGAAGATGGCCAAATTCGAACCAACTGCAGTTTTGTCAACTCTTATTAATGATTGGTTTTTCTTCCATATTTTTTATTTGTTTCTTCTGCCATGCTTTGCTACTAAAACAATTATCGTTGCTCTTTCTTTTGTTTCTTCATGATCATGTTTTGACCGAATAATTAATACCGCTTGTAAGCTCAAATTAAGTTATGATTCACTTTGGCTATCTATTTCCGTTGTTTTCACAATTATTTTATTATATCAACCATTTACAATTTTATTGATGTGGATATTTTTAAATTGGTTAAGATTACTGATAACACCGTAAATAAATTCATAAAATAAGCATGAATCAACTTCTTTCACCGGTTAAAGGAATCGTTATTGTTTTTAGAGATTATGGGTTTGAGCACTAGGGGCTGCAGCACGATGATTTAGTGTTCATTGTCAAATAGTTGAGAGTATTTAGAACATATACTACTTTATAATCACCTTAGCTTAATAAAAAAATTCATAAAATAATTTCTTAGCATTCAAGGTTAGTAGGTTTATTGTTTCCTTGATTAGTAAAATTATTGGTTTGAACATTAATTTTTTTTAAAAAAATATTATTATAATAAAATTATTATCTTGATTATTAAGATTATAAAAAATTTAGTCCTCTTCTAACTCTAAAATATTTAGGTTTAATGAGAAAATTTAGTAGGGCTTTAAGTTTTTTCCGTTTGGGTTTAACATTTTCAACGTTATTATTTTAAGTGTATAGTTTGTCATGACCTTTAGAAAAATTGTTATCTGACATATATTGTGTTTATAGTTTTTGAAATATTTATTAAAATAAAAATTTAATATATATATATATATATATATAATTTCTCTAAAATTACAAAAAAAAAACTCTGAATCCCTTAAAATTCTTCATAAAATCCCTATTCCTAATTCCATTTGTGACACCCTGGATTTTTCTCCAAATTAAAAACCCTATAATTTAGGAATTTTCATTTGAATCCCTAAATCAAACTTCGTGACCGAATTGTAAAGAAGAGGAAAATCTGGTGGCTATTTCGTAATAAAAACTAAGTTTGGAGCCTATTTCAAAACCCTAGGAAAAGTAAAGACTTAGGATGCGATTTACCTAATTTAATTTAAATCACAAAATTTGGTTTTAAAACCCAAGAGAAACAAAGAAAATGCTATATTTGCTTTTCTTTGTTTCTCTCTCCCACTGCCGCTTATATCTCAACGTAGCCGATTCAACGCCTCGCTTCGTACTCTTTTACCCTCGAACATTCCCTTTGTCATCGTTTATTTTTCTAGGTAAGGAGACCGTGAATTAAGGTTCCCACCGTTGCCGCTCGGGGCTTTCCACGGTGGTTGTGGTCCTCGGTTTCATCGGGGATCAGTTGTGGAGGCCGAATCAGTAGGATTTCGTCCATGAACGGCTGTGAAACTCACTGCCGCCATTTTTCTGGCCGTTTCAAGTCACGGCTTAGAGTAGTTGACGCCGCGGTCCCTCCTGCCGTTGTTGCCGCGTCACCGACAGCCCCTTTGTTCGATCCAGCAGACTTGAATCGAGTCAAAATTTTGCTGTATGGTTCTCGATTCGAACCGGAAATTATTTTTAATTGACGTTCAGTTGTTACATTGAATAGAAAAATCGTTAAATTGGATATTAAATCGGACATCCTAATTTTGTAGGAGGAATCGAACTGGGTATTGTTACCTGCTAATTTTGAACCGACCCATATTACTAGAATTGACATGAGTGCTAGTTGATAAATTTTGTTATGTTTAGTGCCATCGTTATTTTAGAATATTAATTTAATTATTATGTATGAATTGATTCGGATCGACCCACTGCTTGAGTTGATAATGGTAGAAAATATGATCGTCGTTAGTTATTTTGTCGAGATATTTTATTTGTGAATTATTTGATTGATTGTCATTTTTCTGTTGATTGTGAACATAATTTTGATATGACATTTGTTAACAAGCATATGATTCGGATAATATTTTTGTGATGTTTGTTATTATGTCAAATTTTAGAAAATTTTATACGATACATGTTGATTTATCGGATTCATAATTTATTTTATGCATTCGGACTTTAAAATTTAGTAAATATTTATACATTCGGATCGAATCGAAATTAAGATATATATATCATGAACCTATGTCACATTAGGTTGGAATTGACTGAAGAAGTTTAGTTCATTCACTCGACGAGATAAATGTCATTTCGGGTTCAATGGCTCTTACTTTTGTGGCAGACCCTACTTCGGATAATATGTTGTAGTTAGTGTGATTCGAAGAATCTATTCTTCGAATGATGTGTAAGAAGTATGGGTGAATTTACATATACATTTCATTCATACTATGAATATTATAGACGGTGAATATGTTTATGTTTGAGTTTGTTTGTTTGATTGCAGTTTAGGGAACACCAAGCTTTGTAGTTTACACTAACATAGTTTCTCTTTCAAATTCTCAGACTTAGGCGATCCGGCACTTAGAAGACTATATTATCTATTTTCAAACATATTATAATTTACAGTATGAACTTAATTCGATATTTTTCTTCGTAAGACACATGTTTATTTTTAATATTCTTTTATTGCTTGTGTTTGCGACATTGAACGTTATTAAATTTGAATCGATTTTTGCATGCATTACCGACATATTTATTTTTAGAATTATTTTTATTGCTTGTATTTGCGACATTGAGCGTTATTAACATTTGAACCGATTTTCACATGCATTACCGACATATTTATTTATTAATATTATTACAGAATTTGGCAAACATTTGAGATCAATAAAGTTATCAGCTTTGCCTTTTGTATAATATTCGAATGATTTAATTGGGATTTTTTAAGTTGAATATTTTAAGAAAAATGTTTTGTTTGATAGACGAGTTTCAAAGTAAAATCCTAATCGTTAAGGGGCATCACTATTACCTTTGTCAACTAATCGTCTGCATCATTTTTTGTCATCTTATCATGGATCACTTCATCAACAATACTGATTAATCGCGGCCATCATTTTTATCATCTTCCTTACCGTCGATTACTTAACCAATCACCAATGGTACAAATACAGTCCCGCGTCTACCCCGACCAAACAATTGTTCGAACAATCAGAGGTGTTCTGCATCGGCGTTAAGGATTTGAGCTGTTGTGTTGAAGCAATTGGTTTATGTAATTGTTATTTGGGCCAGCCACGATGAGGGTTTAAAAAGTAAAAAACTAGGTTTAAGGGTTTGGAGTTTTTTCTTGGAATTCTAGAAAACTTGAGATTTTCTTAACAATAATTTTAAACTTTTATTTAAATAAAAAAATTAAAATTTTATGAACGCAACATATGTCATTTAACTGTTTTGACGGACCAATCACTTAAAATAGTAATATTGAAAATATTAAACATTTATATTGAACTAAAAAAAATTTAGACATTAAAACGAATAAAATATATAATTTTAGAAACTTATTTTTTAATTAACCAAAAAAAATTAAATCTTACCATTTTGGACATGAACTCTCACGGACGGGTGTTGATAGCTAAAATGGATGAAGCTTGAAGTAGTCCAACTTGGCTTGCACGCAGGGCTATTTCCCTCCCCCTTTGTCACCGAAATAATTACGACAAAGACTTGCCTGGCAACTTGGGTTATTTCCTCCACAATTCCACATTGACTCCATCTTTTTAACCAAAACAAGCATCCATGAAATAGACCTCAAGACCCAGACCCAGTCTTTGGCTTAATATATAGCTAGCTAGCATTGAGGTTTCTTGCAAATTCCCTGTCAAAGTCATTCTTTCTTCGAACAGTTGTATCTGTTCGTGTGTTATCAAGTTTTACAAGAAAATTCTAGATGAAAAATATTGGAGAGACTCCACCACCTACCTCTCTTCCTCTTTCGTTACCTTCACGTCACCGTTAGAATTTTCAGAAAGTAATTAAACCATCACCCCAAGAAAACTTTCCTCTCTCTTACACTATTAACCATCTAATATATACAGCTATCTTATTAAACTAACTATTACTTTATTTCATTGACTTCTCCCTTTTTTCTCACCGCCCCTGCCAGACTACTCTCAACAAGGCGACTTTACTATTACATCTTTTAATTTCCTGAAGAAAACAAGAACTCCAGTGCTGCTGATTAGTTTCCTAAAGACGATGACATGGATATGCATGCTTCCTCTTCTATTAGCATCCATCCATGTGTTCAGTGGAGTCTCTGCAAGATTTGTGGTTGAGAATAACAGCATCAAGGTGCTGTCTCCATTGAGTCTGAGAGGAAAGCACGATGGTTCCATAGGTAACTTTGGAATACCAGACTATGGTGGGTTCATTATAGGCTCTGTGGTTTATCCGGACGAAGGAGCTAATGGTTGTGAACCCTTTGATGGTCAGCCCTTCAAGTCCAAGTCTCCTCTCCCCTCTGTCCTCCTCCTTGATCGTGGAGGTATTTCTCCATCCATTTCTCTTCGATAATATTGTTAAAATCAACTTTATGTTATATCTTCTTTTGTTTCCTTGATGAATTACATGCCATATGCTTCAGTGTAACAGTATTAGCAGTTAATTTATGGTATGCAGGGGTTGAATTTTGCTTCTCCAGGCTTGTCTTTTTTTCCTTCTTCTTTGAACACTTGCTTGGTTTTTCCTTTCTGTAACCTTGACTTGTCATGGTTCTCGTCGTTGACTCGTAATCGTTCTTGACCTTCTGTGTTGCACTTGTAGATTGCTACTTTGCCTTGAAGGTATGGCATGGCCAACAGGCTGGTGCTGCTGCAGTATTGATGGCTGATAGCATAGATGAACCTCTAATAACTATGGTTTCTCCTGAGGAAAGCAGTGATGCAAATCGGTACGTGGAGAAGATTGGGATTCCGTCGGCTTTGATCGAAAAGTCTTTTGGTGACAACCTTAAGGAGGCCTTGAAGAAGCGTGAAGATGTGGTGGTAAAACTAGACTGGAGGGAGTCAATGCCCCATCCTGACCAGAGAGTTGAATATGAGCTGTGGACCAACAGCAACGACGAGTGCGGCGTTCGTTGCGATGAGCAGATGAATTTCATAAAGAATTTCAAAGGCCATGCCCAGATACTTGAAAAGGGAGGTTACACTTTGTTCACACCACATTACCTAACTTGGTATTGTCCTAAACCCTTTATCTTTAGCAGTCATTGCAAGTCCCAGTGTATAAACCATGGAAGATATTGTGCTCCTGATCCGGAACAAGATTTCAGAGAGGGATATCAAGGAAAGGATGTGGTGTTTGAGAACTTGAGACAGCTTTGTGTGCACAGAGTTGCCAATGAGAGCAAAAGGCCCTGGATTTGGTGGGATTATGTGACAGATTTCCATATCAGGTGTTCGATGAAGGAGAAGAGATATAGCAAAGAATGTGCTGAGGGTGTCATGAGTTCTCTTGGTAAGTGTTCTTTTCTTCTGGATTTTTGTGTATCTTCCGGCGTTCTCGCTTGATCGGCTTCGCATGCTTAACCAGATTTGCCTATTGAGAAAATCAAAAAGTGCATGGGTGATCCCGAAGCTGATATCGAAAACGAAGTCTTGAAACAGGAGCAACAACTTCGGGTACACCTTTTTCTTCGCCCATATTAAGAACAAATTTAATATCTTAAGATTAATGATATTAACTAGATGCAAATGTTAACTTTCTTATTTTGCTACAATCTATGGCACTTAGGTTGGCCAAGGTTCTCGTGGTGACGTTACCATTTTGCCAACATTGGTTATCAATAATGTTCAATATCGAGGTTCGTTACATATCATGTCGGTGAACGAGACAGTAACATTCCTATTGAATTACATAAATGATGCTGAAGTTCTTGTTTTGCCTGCTATGAAGGGAAACTGGAGAGAAGTGCAGTGCTGAAGGCCATCTGTGCTGGATTTAAGGAGACTACGGAACCTTCGGTTTGTTTAAGTGCAGGTAGATTGGATCTGCTAACATTCTAAATTCGGTTACACTCTTATTTAATATTGACATCATGTTATTTTAACAGATGTTGAAACTAATGAGTGCCTTGAAAGAAATGGTGGATGTTGGCAGGATAAACGAGCCAACATAACAGCATGCAGGGTAAAGTATAGAAAGTTTATAAAGTTCGATGTTGCAATCGAATATGCGAGAGTTTACCTCCACAAATCCTGCTAATGAAAAGAGATTTTGAATTTGTTCAGGACACATTCAGGGGAAGAGTATGCGAATGCCCCATTGTGAAGGGCGTGCAGTATAGAGGAGATGGTTACATATCTTGTGAAGGTGCAGCTTTTTTCCCTTGTGTTAAATTAGATTCAACATGGGCAATGTGTTCACCCGTTTCCACTTGTCATTTATCATCCATTTACAGCCTTTGGACCTGCGAGATGTACGATAAACAGTGGAGGTTGCTGGTCCGAAACAAAAGATGGATTAACTTTCTCGGCTTGCGCAGTTCAGTGATTTGTTGCTCATTCTGTCATTTCTCCAATAGTTTTCTGTTATTCTGCAAATTTCTTTTGGTTTGACTAAAATAACTCCATTGCATAAAGCAGGAAAACCAATTAAAAGGTTGTAAGTGCCCACAAGGGTTCAAGGGGGGTGGTCATAAATGTGAAGGTGCTTTTACCTTTACTTGTTTCTCAAGTCTCAGTCCCTCAGGTTTTGCCTCCATTACATTGGAATTTGTTCACCCCCATCCGTTGTATTTGCTTCAGATATCGATGAATGCACTGAAAGAAGTGCTTGCCGGTGCGATGGCTGCTCCTGTAAAAACACTTGGGGGTCATATGAATGCAAGTGTAAAGGGAATCTTCTCTACATAAGGAACCAAGATGCTTGCATTGGTAAGATCATGCATTTGTTAGTCATTTATGAAAGTAAAGGTGTCAAAATACATGATCTTTTTGTTACAGAAAGAACTGGATCGCACTTCGGGTGGTTCATTACCTTCTTGGTCCTGGCAGCTGTGACGGCTGCAGGCATAGCTGGGTACATATTCTACAAATATAGGCTCCGGGTAATGGACTTCACATTTTTGTCGCTTTATCTGTATTGTGGCTTGGTTAGACACATTTATTCATTTGTTTCCACCTGCAGTCTTACATGAACTCGGAGATCATGGCGATCATGTCGCAGTACATGCCGCTTGACAATCAGCATAACAATAAAGTTCCGAGTGAGGCACAACCTCTGCGGCAAAGCGCAACAGCATAAACAAAGGCAACTAAACCTTCGTGGCTGCTCTCCCCTGAAATTGGAGCCATCTATATCTATATATATGTATACAGCTCTTATGAAATTACGGAAGAAAAGACACTTGTTTAACTGCCACACAGGCACCCCCACCATGAGTAATGGTTGTATACAAATTTTCCTTCACATATAGGAGAGTCCTTCGCACATAGTTGTAGTTGGCGTGTTTGTACATAAAATAGTTTAGAAGTAAACAAACGTTGACTCATGTCAAGAGTCATACGTGTAGAAGTAAAGGAATAAGACAACGCTTGGAATGTGGATTTTAGATCAATTTTATCACTGCTTTGTTGCTAAATTTGTACTTACAACTATTACAAAACTAGCATGTTTTACTGAAAGCTATTTTCCTTTTTCAACCAAGAAAAATGTTGGAAATCTTGCGTTCTTTGAATGTATATTCAAACAATAAAATTTTGGAAAAGCTGTAGCTATTTTTCTATGAATTAAACAATAAAATTTTACATTCCAATCAAATGAATCCAAGAGAAGATGAGGGGGAAATTAAGATTATTGAGTAACGAGCGATCTAAAGAATATTGTAAGCAAAGATTAGGCGAGTACAATCAATTTATATATGCTTTCATGCTCAATTGTGTAGGCTTGTATTCTTAAATGTCTAAATTGCAATTTTTGGCTCTATCTGAGCATGTTATTCGATATCGTATGTTTATAGTCCGTTATCTGGTGACGAATTGAAAAAGACAGTTATCAGTTAAACTAATATGAATATAATAAATTTTTTATCTAAAATCACTTGAATTCTTTTCAATTTTAAAATACAATAACTACATGGATTTGGTGACTACAAATATATATATATAAACTAGACTAATATAGTTTTTTAAATATAACCCATATATTTTCATTTGAACTATATATATATATATATATATACACACACACACACATATATTTTGACATGGAGTGAGCCATGATCCGATAAGCCCAGGTACACATTCACGAACTCAAATGCATCGCTCGCCCCAACCCTGTATTTTAACTTTTTCCGATCCCAACTATTTCACCAACTCCAACAGTACAACGGCCATTTCATTGGCTGCATCCGACTGCCACTGGGCCACTCCACCATGATCAAGAATCCGACTGCGGAGTCCAGATTTGGGATGTTATACACACGATGACGATGGTCGTCAAACTGAAATCATGATGAGAATTTCGAGCTACGATTCGGTGTTTAATTGATTACTTCACCAAATGCACCCGAATGTGAAAAAAATACATGCATTTAGTCTTTATCATCCTCACTCCCCTTCAATAAAATCCATTACCTAAACTCAAATCAACATCCTAACAGTGCAATAAATTCACAATGTTAATAACCCAACTTTTCTAAGTATCTGACTTTTAGAATTAAAATTAAAAAACAATCGACTTTTCTTCTCTCTTCTGCATCACTTTGCAAAAGACTACAACACAATTACATCTTGCCATAACCAACCTAAAAATTGATTGATGAATTTGGGGTCCCAATCCCTCTTTCCACAGTTCATGCAAGTAGTGCATCATGCTCATTAATCCAATTGATATCTCAAGATGCACCTCCCAACTAAAATGCTATTCGACCTGCAAGTCTGCTTTCCAGGATCCTTCTGTCTATTGCTGCATCAATAGAGCTCATCTGAAATCAAAATTCAAAGAAAATGATCAGAGAGGAACCACGACCATCCCTCACTTGTATAAAACTTATTCGTTTGCAGCTTGGCCCAGATCCTATGCAAAAGATACCAAACTTTTCGAAAGAAGCTGACCTGGAAAAGCCTGAATTCACTGTCAATGCTATTTATTTGAGCAAAAATCTGTTGGGTATCATCTTGTTCCACCCAAACCCCCACACATTTTGAAATCAAGCATAGGGAGAATGTATAGCATTTAATAAAATCCAAATTTTAAGTGATCATGTACATACTACATACAAACATACATAATCTATTCTTAACCGCGCTCAATGCTAGAAGGAAGAAATACTCGAGAGGATTGCACCATGCTCGTCAAAGTTACACTTACCAATACCAGAAAAACTGGCATAAATACCTACTTGAATATTTTGACACAAACAGTTGGAGGCAATTGCTTGCAAAGTGGAACAATCATATTTTAAAATAAAAGTGGATGCCCGTCAATCAATATGAGTTCTTGATGAAAGGGCTCATGGATCCTCCACAAATTGTGTTTCTTTTTTAATATAAAATAACAAAAAGGAATCACACGAAAATACCTCATCAAATAGGTAACAAGAGCACAGATAACTGAATCTGAAAACATGAAACATAAAGCCTACCCATCTGGTTAGATGTGCAAACCAAGTCCATAAACTAGAGAGATAGTTATGACTTACCTGGCTATTTTCATCATGCATCTGATATTTGGCTAAGGACATTCTTCTCTCTTCCTGCAAGTATATAAATCAGAAATCTTTAATAACATATTTCCAGCATCATCTAGAAAAGAGCAAATAAAAACCCAATTAAAAAGTAGGAACCGACCATGGACATTGCCTCATCATCCCAAACTAAATAAACCTCGTTTACCGCCGACTGGATAGCAGGAGCTTTATTTGCTATAACAGGGGGTGGTCCAATAGATGGGCCACCAGTATTTGGACCAGAGGCATAAGAATGAGAATTGACACCAGCACCACCTATAAGCAAACAAAGATAAAAATAAGTTGCAAAAATATGAAGCAAGTTATCTTAAAATGATGTAGAAGTAAGTAATACAGCAGGGAAGACAACAGGGATTAAAAAATTAAGTTAATAAAAAGGGATCCAGTCTATTGAACAAAGCAGCACAACTGTTTTTTTTTTTTGGGTGGGGGCGGGGGGCGGGATTGTGTTGTTTTCAAAGCATGTAAAGCACTCAAGACAGGTCCCTTAATTATAAGCACAGGTGCTCTGCAAGCTTGCATCTGTGGAAGCAAGACAACTTTTAATTCTATTTCTAATGAAATTATAAATGCATGAGTGACAGTGGTGGGCTACCTCAGCTGCCATCATTGAGTTGGGTTGCGCAAATGATACCTAAATTATTAATTGCTTAGAAAGAGTGCACAAAAATATTTGTTAAAAGTCATCAACCCTATAAAGGACAGAAAACGCTAATGCAATTTTGTTTATAAGGTCTTATAGTTTTTGCCTAGTTTTATTATCTCCACTTTATTTTATCACCAAGTTTCTCACTCTTGAACACTGTGCAAGTTAGTTTTATATAAGCCTGTAGACAACGAGCAATGTAGATGCAATTTTTGTCTCTAGTCATAGGATCAGTCAAAATGGAATACTAGCAGGTTCACAGGTACCTGTCACCGTAGCACTACCACTAGAATGCACTTCAATTGAAGTTTTTCCTTCTGCAACACTTGTTGGAAAAGAAGCAGAAAACGGTGAGCTCTGAGTAGGTACGCTATTATTGACAACAGGGAACAATGGTTGGGATACAGGAAGTGTAGGCGTTGATGTCGGCAATCCAGGTGGAGCAATTTGTGAAGGTTGGAGTGAAGGTGATGTTGAAGGAACAGCCATAGGAGGCCTCACACTTTGTAGTGGAAATAATGGTTGCTGCACATACCCCATAGGTGCAGATAGGGGAACTGAAGATGCAGGATGCTGTGGGAGCCAAGGCTGTGGACGAGGAGGCACTGCCCAGCCAACAGGAGGTACAGGCACTGCAGCATTATACCTGAGACAAACAACACATTAAATGGTCAGACTAACTACATTAGCAACTTTTGAAGATGTAGAATAACCTTACAATCGCATGCTGAAATGCTGCATGATTTAATATACCGACAACAAGAGCCACAATGAAAGCAACAATGACATCAAAAATCCAAGTATTCTTAAAAATGTCAATTGTAAGTTTCAACAATTATATTTCATAGCCCGAATGCTTAGCAATAAATGGCACAGAGAAGACCAAAGTGAACATACAATGGCTGCACTGCCCTTAAAGTTGATTGAGGAGGATATCCAACAGGAAGTGGCCCTGGTATCAATCCTCCCACAAGCTGAGTAGATGGGATATCCAGTTTGGCCGCTTTTGACGCAACCTCTTCTTCTGCAAGAAATTTTATTTTAAGAATTAGGAAGATATAGTAGCAAATATAAAACATAATCAATATGCAACAGCATCAAACTTGTTAGATAAAATACCAATTACAATGTGAAACTCCGAGTAAAAGTACATCTACAAAGTTATTTACTTACCTTAGAGAAAATCTGTAACCCTATTTCCTTCTCTTAAATAAAAACATGCATTCCCATTCAACTTTAAAATGTGTCCTTGATTTACTCACCTATGCTATTACAATAATATTTTAAAAAAAATATTCATGCTGCCACTTTTAATACTTACTTATTCTTCCATAAGCAGAAATGAAAAGGCAATTTTGTATGCAAATAAAAATTCTAATTTTAGTAAAAATTATAACGATATTAAGTTTTATGAAAACCAAAAGTACTTGTATGTTTGCGGGCAACAACTCAAGTTATCATCACTTGATATTAAACATGATTATAAATGATACATCAATATGTTTACCTTCTTCTCCATAGTGAGCAGCTAGTACATCAGGTGGTATTCCTTGCATTCCATATATCTCAATGTCAGTCGATTCTCTACCAGATTTTGCATTGGGAACCCTATAAAATATGTACTGTTTTCAGTGTAATGCAAAGTTCACTGGCGAGAAAAATAACATAGCAGGCCTTGGTCCTTACTGATAGACAACTTCTGAAGACTGAATTTACAGGCGCAGCCCAGCAAACACTTAAGATTCAAACAGGAAGTATAACTTCTTAGACAACTTCTACGAAGCAAGGTAAGGCAAATATTTAAAAATGGCTACTCGCTTTCTTTATGTATTTCTTAAAATTATTTCAGAAGCTTCTAATTATGAATTAATATAGAGAAATAACTGACTAGTTATCTATCTTTTTTATCTTGTGCATGGAATGCAATTTCTTCTATTGATCAACGAAACTGGGGCAAAGAACTAATGGCTACCCTCAAGAACATAGGTTTCATTGCGTTGCCACATCCCCAAATCGATTTATTCATCCAAAAGCGAAAGGTATTTAGGTAACATTTGACCGTTGAAACAATTCCTTGTAGTAAAAAAAGTATTATTTGCTCCGGCCAAGAAGAAAAATCTGAAAAGACAAATACCAAAGTACAAAGAACTCAAACCTCGACAATTTTTAACTTTCTCTCGTCGTGCAATTTTTTCCTATTTTGATCTTAGGAACAAGTTTCTGATAAACCGAAAAAGGAAGCGCTTACAGAATATAAATCCATTGGAAAGTATTGAAAAAAGCGACAAAATATACCCTAAAATTAAATGGGGGAACATTATTTACGAACCTAAAAGAACCCTAAAAAGAAGAGCAGAATTTAGACCGGAAAATAAGAAGAAAAAAAGTAGTAAACTGAAAAGAGAAACAATTGGAAACAGGTGTGGGAATAATAATAATAGCATAGGTAAAGGAGATACTTGGTGACGGACTCCTTGTGAACCTGGAGAACATGGATGGCCATACCACCGGCGGTGGAGAGCTTCTTGTGACAGACATGGCACTTGAAATGCTTGGCCTTCTGGTGCTGGACCAGTATCTTCTCGTCGTCAAATTCTCTCTCACAATAGTAACACCATACCTTGGACGGAACTCTTTTCTTCTTCTTTCCCATTTAGGTTAGGGTTTTTCTCTGATCTGCGATTTCTCTTTAATTTATTAATTTCTTCTTCTCTTTTCAATGGATGAGATGGGTTCAAGACTTGTATATATGGGTTTTGTTTAATTTATTTCCCAATATTAATAAATTGTTCAAGGGGTTGTGCAGTCCGTTCAGTTTAAATAGGTCGGGTGGGTCCACTAAAAAAACAAATTATATTAAATATTCTTGAATTTTGTCAATTATAAAGGTGAATTTTAATTTTTACATTTAATTATATTATTTTTGTCATTAACTTACTAGCAAGATTATAACATGATTAAAGATTGTTAATGTAGTAGGTCATACTAAAATCAAGTCGTTTTTAGTGCGATTATTTTGATGTTCAAAATTTATTTAAAACACTGAATTTTAGAATATATCGATTTTATCATTGAACTTTTAAATAGTTTATTTTTTTAGTATTGCACTTTTCAATTATCATTAATTAATTGTTGTTCATTACTGATTTTTTTTACGACAAAATTAATATCAAAATGTTTGTATATAACTTCTTCTTCTTCGCATTTCACTCTGGCCTATTATAAGATAGTTACATCCATAGTCCTTTTTATTTTGAATTACAATTTAATTTGGTCCTAACATTTAATTAAAATGCTATTTTGGCCCGATAATTTTAATTTGATCAATTTAGTCCTTGAAATTATTAATTAGTTATTAATGAGGTATTTTGTGTAAAGTAAAAATATTTGTGACCTTATTGGCTTATTCGTGATTTAGATCATCAATGGAGGAATGAGAAGCTCGAATTTAACAGTGGTTAACTCGAATTCAGAAAATTAAGGACACTTCAAATAATGATTATCAATAACTAGTTTGGGAATGCTTTTTATAATGAAAAAGTGTTTTTTCACCCTATAAGCAATGATGAACACTACAAAATTTGATTTTAAATTATGGTTAGAAAAGTGATTTTCAACCTAGCTCAAATTTTTAGCTTTTGCGGTGCAAAATCACTTTTAGGTGAAATTATATTTTCAACCTTAAATAATATATTTTCAATTTATAACATAATATCTAAAATGAACATTTTTGTGAGAATGCAGCCATGAAGGCTGAAAGTGATGAAAGGTTGAGTTGAGTTAGCAAATGAGTAAGGAGACGGTAAGAGAGAGATGATAGAATAAGCTTTTTTTATTGAACAGTGGAAAATACTCAGTTTATAACCTAATACAAAAGGATGGCTTATATAGCCCAAGTAACCAACAAACCATAACAAACTAATAATAACAAACTAATAACAAGCTAATAACAAACCATAACAAACTAATAACAAACTAGTAACACTCTAACATTCAACCAACTTTTCAACCTTTTAATTTTCTTCAAAATGAACTTGCTATTAGAGAGTTGGTCAAACAAAGAATACAAACTTAATAAGCTGGAGTTCAACCGTCTTGCGGTATTGATGAACAATTTATCAAACAAATTCTCTTTCACCTAAAACATCTTCTTTCTTCAACTTTCCTAGGCTTTTCTTCTTCTTCTTTTCAAGAGTTATTTTTCCTCTTCAGTGTCCTTCCTCTTCACTTATTAGGACTTTTTTTTTGTTGGAAGCAAGACGGTTAAGCTACGAGCTCCCGGATGCAATTTGAAGCCTCTTTTGGGCAAGAAAACATCTTATTTTGTCTGGTTAAGGAAGATAAGGCTGTTAAACTCTTAACCCTCCCCAGAGATTTTCTTCTATGGTAACTTGATTGTTAAACCTCAAAGTTCCATGTCAAACTTTGAAGAAAAAGTAACAAGTGATGAAAGATACTCTATGAACACCTTAAAACTGCTGTATGATTTGAGAACCGAATGGAAAATGCATAACCAACAAAATAGTAAATGCACCAACTCAATTCAGGAGTATTAACCACTCAATGGTCAACTTAGAATCAGACCATCAACACTTTGTAGCAGCAAAACCACAATACGAATGAATAACACGAGCAGTAGTGAACTAAAGCAACCAAATATTAACTAAAACAACAACTAAAAAAAATTGACATCTGCAATACAACATCAACACAGGGACACGTAGAGGGTAAAGCTAAGCAGCAAACTTCAGAGTTACTCATTCAGACATTTCTTCGACCAGTTTCTAGGCATTCAGAATGTTACGCGTCTGTAAAAAATCCAAGAAGCTGCCATAGAACCATGCCATAACAGAGCACCAGCGTTCAAGAGCAACAGGACAAACGATCTCAAATTGAAAGGTAAATGACAATATAATTGTGGAGGTATCTCTCAAACTTAAGCAAACCGAATTGAACCAAAACCACATTGAAAAACAGCAACATAAATGCCCAACACAAATCAGATTACAGCTCCAAGAACCACACTCCAAAAAATCAAAATGAAGAATCAAAGCGCAAGAATAACCATAAAGGTATAGATCTCACCGGAGAAACAAATCGACGATTTCAGATCGCAAAAATGCAACATCAGCCAGGAAAAAAATAAAGGAACGACTATAAATTAGCAACAAATCGCACGGCGGTGCTAAAATCGGCTCCAAAAGTCAGCAGCGAAAAAAAACAACATTAGGATCGTTGGCGAATGATACCATGTGAGAATGCAGCCATGAAGGCTGAAAGTGATGAAAGGCTGAGTTGAGTTAGCAAATGAGTAAGGAGACTGTAAGAGAGATGATAGAATAAGCTTTGTTTTTATTGAACAGTGGAAAATACTCAACTTATAACCTAATACAAAAGGATGGCTTATATAGCCCAAGTAACCAACAAACCATAACAAACTAATAACAAACTAGTAACACTCTAACAATTTTATCTTTCTAAAATAACTTTTTACTAATAATCTTACATTATAAATTTTAAACTATATTTTTCAAAAATATTTTTAAAAATACTTTATTAGCGTATTTTTTAAATCGAATTTTAATAGTAATACTAAACTAGCTTAATCTATGTTTAAGCTTTGTCTAATCCAATGTAGATCACCCTTTCGTAATAATAATAAGCTATAAATATTCTCCATTTCATATAGGAAATTCGTTTCTTTTCGAAGATGATGTCCCCAAGGCCAATCTATGAGGTTCGTGGATCACCTCATTTCAGGTACAATAAAGGGTAAACTACACAAATAGCTACCGTCGTTTGAGTTTTCTAAACTTATAGTCACTTGATTTAAAAAAATATAATATATGGTCACTTTCGTTTCGTTTTAATTAAGATGTGGTCACTCGGGCATTATTTTCCGAGAGTTGGATGACACGACACGTTAATAAAAAGATTTAATTTTTATTTGAACCCTTAAAAACTTCAGATAAATTACTAATAACGAGTCTTTTTGTAAAGCCAAAATTGTTCAGAGATAAATTATCAATTTACCCCTTTTTTTTATATGTTTTCTTCCCCAAACCTATCTTCTCCACCGTTTCCACTGCTTCATCTCTAAACCATTGGTAACACATCAACAAGATTGTATTTTTTGTAACATTACTATGGGAATGTCGTATTATCTTATTTGGTTTGTTTAGCGGAAATGTAAAATTATAATGTTTGGTTAGATGAATATAAGATTACTTGAATGTATTTTTAACCAAATTATCCGTGTGATATATATTTGTTTTTATAAAATTTAATCGTTATACTATCTAATTTTTGAGAAAAAATATATTTAATATATAATTAGTATAATGAACTTATATTTTTAAATAATTTTCATAATTATATAAAAATAATATAATATTAAGAAATAATATTATAATATCGAGTGGACAATTCCAATATATAAGATCTATGTTTTAAATAATTTAAAGTTAGAAATTATTTTAAATAATTATATTTTTACAATCATAATATTTTTTACCTCATAAAATTATAAATAATTAATATATAAAATATTAAAATATAAAAGAATTTTAAATATTCAAATTTATTAATATTTTATTAAATTAAACTCTTTGTATAATATTATTATATCTATAATTTTGATTAAAGTAAAAAAATGTGAATTGAAAATGATCATTATAAAAATAATTCTTTATTCTAGGGTTATTCTTGTTCGAAGTCGTGAAAATTGTCTAATACATAAGAATTTGAAGATAATGACATTTTCACTAGTTCAAAAAAATTCGTAACCGTTAACTGATATAACCGTTACTTTTAACAAGTTAATTAATCGAACCGTTAATACTAAACAGTTACAAATTGTGATAAATGATTAACTAATTTATTATAGCTAGAGAAATAACAATATAATTTTTTATTATTTATAATTTATGTATATTTTAATAAAGTTTGTGTACAAATAACTTAATATATATTTTTAATTTTTTTGTTTCTTTGAAAATATAAAATCATACTTATATCAATATACTTATGTGTTTATTGTTAGGTATTAAGATATTGTGAGATGTACATATTTACACCGGTGTAAGTATGTATTAAGTGTTACATTTTTTTTATTTTATTCACTTACACATTTACACTGGTGTAAGTACGTGTTAACTATTATATTTTTTATTTTATTCACTTATACCGGTGTAAGAATGTGTTAAGTACTACACTTTTTTATTTTATTCACTACATCGATATAAGTAAGTGTTAAGTGTTATACTTTTTTATTTTATTCTCTACATCGGAGTAAGTATGTGTTAAGTGTTACACTTTTTGTAGTATGAATTATGAAAAAAAATTAAAAATAATTGTAATAGGTTAACCGTAGGTTAATCTGTAACCAAACCGTTAATAACGGTTAACCGTTAATGATTAATCATTTCTTAATGATTAGGTTATAGTTAAAAAAAATCTCATAACTGTTATAACGGATTAATCGACTTTTTAGGCTAACGGTACGATTAATCGTCCATGAACACCCTATCATGAATAAAAGGTGAGAATACAATTTCTGAAAATATTATTCCCCTTGAGAATGTTTTTTTCGGCCCCTCAATGGCTACTAACAAGAAGAGTAATGGCGTCCACATCATGAAACAAAACAAACATGGATTACCAATTGGTGAAGGGAATGTTTGGTCCATGAATTTTGTAGCTTCATGGCAGCCATGTGTTTTAAATCTATGGCTCTTGTTCTCCATA